ACAGACATGTATAACACAGGTGTAGACGGACATGTATTACACAAGTGTGGATGGACAGAAATTACATATGTGTGGACGGACATGTATTACACACGTGTGGACGGATATGTATTACACACGTGTGGACGGACATCTATAACACAGGTGTGGACGGACATATATTACTAAGGTGTTGACGGATGTATAACACAGGTGGATGGACAGAAATTACATATCAGTGGACGGACACAGCTGTGAACGGACATGTATTTCACAGGAGTGAACGGACATGTATTTCACAGGTGTGAACGGACATGTATTACAAAGGTGTGGACAGACATGCATTATATAGGAGTTAACGGACATATATATCACAAGTGTGTACACACATGTATTACACAGGTGTGGACAGACATGTATAACACATGTGTTGACGGACATGTTTTACAAAGGAGATAAAGGAACATGTATTTCACAAGTGTGGACGGACATGTATTGCACACATGTGGAAAAATATGTATAACACACATGTGAACAGACATGTATAACACAGGTGTCGACGGACATGTATTACACACGTGTGGACGGACATGTATTACACACGTGTGGACGGACATCTATAACACAGGTGTGGACGGACATATATTACTAAGGTGTTGATGGATGTATAACACAGGTGGATGGACAGAAATGACATATCAGTGGACGGACATGTATAACACAGCTGTGAACGGACAATTATTTCACGGGAGTGAACGGACATGTATTTTACAGGTGTGTACACACATGCATTACACGGGTATGGACAGACATGTTTTACACAGATGTGGACAGACATGTATTACACAGATGTGGACAGACATGTATTACACACGTGTGGACGGACATGTATTACACACGTGTGGACGGATATGTATTACACGGGTGTGGACAGACATGTTTTACACAGATGCGGTCAGACATGTATTACACAGATGCGGACAGACATGTATTACACACGTGGTGGGCGGACATGTATTACACACGTGTGGACAGACATGTATTACACACGTGTGGACGGATATGTATTACACGGGTGTTGACAGACATGTTTTACACAGATGCGGTCAGACATGTATTACATAGATGTGGACAGACATGTATTAAACAGATGCGGACAGACATGTATTACACAGATGCGGACTTACATGCATGACACAGGTGCGGACAGACATGTATAACACAGATGTGGACAAACAAGTATTACCAAGGTATTGACGGACTTGTATTTCACACGTGTGGACGGACATTATTTCACACGTGTGGACGGACATGTATTACACAGGTGTGTACAGACATGAATAACACAGATGTGGACAGACATGTATTACACAAATGCGGACAGACATGTATTACACACGTGTTGACGGACATGTATTACACACGTGTGGACGGACATGTATTTCACACAGGTGGACGGACATGTAATACACAGGTGTGTACAGACATGAATAACACAGATGTGGACAGACATGTATTACACAGATGCGGACAGACTTGCATTACACAGATGCGGACAGACATGTATAACACAGATGGGGACATACATGTATTACCAAGGTATGGACGGACATGTATTACACAGGTGTGGACAGACATGTATTACACACGTGCGGACAGACATGTATCACACACGTGTGGACAGACAGACATGTATAATACAGGTGTGGACGGACATGTATAACACAGGTGTGGACGGACATGTACTACCCAGGTGTGGACAGATATGTATTACACAGATGCGGACAGACATGTATTACACACGTGTGGACGGATATGTATTACACGGATGTTCACAGACATGTTTTACACAGATGCGGACAAACATGTATTACACAGATGCGGACAGACATGTATAACACAGATGTGGACATACATGTATTACCAAGGTATGGACGGACATGTATTACACAGGTGGAGACAGACATTCATTACACACGTTTGGACGGACATGTATTACACATGTGTGAACAGATATGTATTACACAGATGTGGACAGACATGTGTTACACAGATGCGGACAGACATGTATAACACGGGTGTGGACATACAGGTATTACACAGATGCGGACAGACTTGTATTACACAGATGCGGACAGACATGTGTTACCCAGATGCGGACAGACATGTATTATACACGTGTGGACGGACATGTATTACACAGGAGTGTACAGACATGAATAACACAGATGTAGACAGACATGTATTACACAAATGCGGACAGACATGTATTATACACGTGTGGACGGACATGAATTACACAGGTGTCGGCAGACATGAATAACACATATGTGGACAGACATATATTACACACGTGAGGGCCGGCATGAATAACACGGGTGTGGACATACATGTATTACCAAGGTATGGACGGACATGTATTACACAGGTGTAGACAGACATTCATTACACACGTTTGGACGGACATGTATTACACATGTGTGGACAGACATGTATTACACACGTGTGGACGGACATCTATACACAAGTGTGGGCAGACATGTATTACACAGGTGTGGACAGACATGTATTACACAGGTGTGGACAGACATGTATTACACAGGTGCGCACAGATATGTATTACACACGTGTGGACAGACATGTATTACACAGGTGTGGACAGACATGTATTATACAGGTGTGGACGGACATGTATTACACAGGTGTGGACGGACATGTATTACACATGTGTGAACAGATATGTATTACACAGATGTGGACGGACATGTCTTACACACGTGTGGACAGACATGTATTACACATGTGTGGACGGACATGTATTACACAGGTGTTTTAAGACATAATTGAACCGAAATTTTGGGGATAATTTGATTTAGATGTGTGCCGAAGTATTGTACTTTTTTTTAACGGCTGTGAGCAGTATTTACATATACATGTTCCAAAGATAGCGTACATGATTTTTTTTTTTTATTACTAAAATATATATTTGCGAACGTGTAAAAAGTTGTTTAAAACAAGGAATGTCGTGTTTATGTCTGCATATAAATTGTCAGTTTGATTACATTGAGCGCGTTGCAAGATATCGTGCGATGATGCCAATTTAAAACAAAAGGAACATTCTGGCATGTAGTCAGCTAATATAAAATCAAGCAAAACGTACTATGGTCAAATAAATAGTAATACCTTTTAAACCGCACTGTTGATCGTTACATTATCCCAGATAATCTCACTCGTTCATCGCGAAATGATCAATCGTTTCAGCAGCCTATCATAGCGTTATACTGTTCGTTCCTTAAAAGAAAATTAAAACCAAAAAAAGGTTTTCTTTAATAAATAAGGTCAGCAATTTGTGTTGAATTCTCCGGAATGATATTCAAGAATAATTTTGCATCCGTTTTCGTTTTAATCGCTCAGAAGAATTTAAGTTAATTAACGAATTGGTAACTAAAGTAAGCATACAAACTTCGCTATATTAAAAACACCAGGTATCTGGAAATTCGTACATTGTGGTATCGACAATTTGTTAGTCAAAGATTCAGGAAATCGCTTGAAAAACAGTTTTGGTCCACTGATGAAATTTCTTATAAACGTGTTTAGATTATTTGCTGACGAATAAATATTAACTTAATCATGATGAGCGTCAAATCATAAAAAAAAATCGTTGTTCGTTATTAAATGAGGTAAAGCTATATGTTACTCGACTTTTTTTTTTTCAAATTTATCGTTTTTCGAGGTTTATAACAACATGTTTGAGACTTTGTTTTATTTCCGTTCTAGGTTTTCCTGAAACTTCTTCAAATATTATCTTTGTCTCGTTACATGTAATTGTAATTTTGTCGGAGGGAATATGTGACCAGATTCCATCCCTGAATATTTTTGTCCACTTCGACATATGTGAGAGTCCTCAATTAACCGAAGTCATTTTGTAATGCGCACCAATCCTATCCAAACATCGGGTTACAAGTACACCACCCTCTATCTACATCCCTCCTATTAGTTTTTTCTGATATAGGATATATCTCTGGGATTAATTTAGTAGCAAGGATAACATATAAAACTGCACTCCAATCAGATTGTATACTATTTGTTTCTCACTCCCCCGTAAGCGGATTGATATTCGAGCACGTTGATTCCTTAAATAGGATTGTTTACGAGCCAAGATGTATTCACACTTCTAAATACAAAACATCCAAACAATACGGTGAAATATAAGGGTTTAATAAATCATTACGAACTAATGGTAACCATCCTGTGGTATTATGTTTTCTTAGCGGAAGGATATCCCTGTCCACCTACGCACTCCTACGTTTGACTCTTGAGATGTTACTTATCATGCGATGCAAGGGGAATAAGTCCGTCAGTCGAACTTGGAAGGATGATACTCTGGTGCGCGGGGTAACGTCTTTTAATCCTATTGATTTTCCTTGAGTGCTAGCTCCATTCATGCTGTCGAGTATAGCGTAATGCCAGTACGGGACTGAATGGGGATGATAATGACAGGAACAATCAGAACATACTTGCTGTATTTATAAATATATATCACATATGTAAATTTATATACAAATATACTTTTTTTTTTATATTTTGCCTAATTTACAATTTAAAGTATTTGAAATATACGCATTTTTATCATATATATTACGTTTGGTGTTCTACAGGTAAATGCCATTTAAATCAACTGTACACCTATATATGTGCATTGTGTCGATTATACAAAGATGTTGCATGTATTTCTGTTACATATATACATCTCCAATGTCGCTAATCGTCTGCTCACACTATTTCCTAATCGGGATCAATACTGCAGGCCCCGAAATGGTGACATTTTGATCCCTTCCGTCTCCCATGTCAGTCCATGGCTCGTCCTGCCTGCTCCGATCCTTTGAAGTCCCTAAGTATGCCTGTTCTGTCAGGTACCTGTGCCACGGCTCTTCACCGCCATTTGACATTTCACGGCCTCGATTTTACATTTTATAATCAGCCTTTATTGACTTTTTACAAACTTTATGCGGCACTGAGTTTTTGAAAGCTGATTAATATCGTTTATTAACATTTATACCTGGCCCTTTTACCTGTATAAATCAATACAAACCCGCTCCCCGTCCCCGGGATGACTTCCTCTAGTGGTAGTATTTAACCCTCTCCTTAATCGCCAAAATGGTTTTCTAGACGGACCTAATTCCTGATTGGTTTGCGAAGAAGTGTTCTGTATACTTTATAAGTCCACTCCGTGCCCCCAGCTGAGAGATATCTGCTCCCTCTGTCCCGTCCGACCCTTTAAAGGGGCTTGTCTGTCTCCCTTCACTGACCCCTGTCTGTGTATTCATGTGCCTATTGTTTTCTATCAGCCAATCACAGGGCTGGTCACACTCGACGTTCGGTCGCTGTCATAATGTGTATTTTGGCGAGTGAGACTAGTGTGTGTATAGCTATATAGCTATCAGTTGAAAACATGCCGGTCTAACCGGAGGACGCTACAAACCAGGGCCCGTGTTTTAATCATACAGGTGTGTGTTTTTTTCACGGAAATACCTTAGTGATACCTTTTCCCAAAAAAATTGGAATAATATTATACATTCTCAAACCAGGTACATTAAAAACCAGGATGGAATAGGAAAGCTGATGTTTCGGTTTTAATGCAGTGGTTTTCAACTAAAAAAAGTTTGGAATGTTTTCGAATGATGAAAATTCAACTACCACCGCGATATGCATAGTAAGCATGTCGAGACACTCACGTGGTCTGTGTATTTGCACCTGTCTAGAGGTACATGGTGCTACAACATACGGAGAGTGTAAGCCTCGCCATAATTCCGGCAGATATTAAGTCAAAACACAGAGTTATCGAAATACAAAATGCTGTACAGTGTTATGAAAAGTTATATTACGATGCATGGTGGTACAAAAACATCGTCTTTATGTCCAGTCCACGGTACAATCTTTGGGATGTAGCTGACAAAGGGATGATCCTTAAGTCGGACTGTGGAATACTTACCGTCAAGTGGATTTAAAACCGGGAATTGATCGTTGTTCGTAACGTATATCTATATCTATATAAATAAATGTTAATTCTAATCCCGGTTTTATTTAAAATTGATGCCTCCTTTTTACCGGGTGTGTGTTTGTGAGGAATAGCAAGCGATGTTGTGGGCGCTACCTTAGTGTATACGTGTGAAGTACCGAAGGGAATAGTTCCTTCACAAATCACGAATCTTCCGGATCTGGAATATATATATTTTCCCCAATATTTTACCCAATAAACTGGGGATCTCATGATAGCCCGAACGCCAGACCTCCGACGGCCAGATGAGACGCTAGTGTATCGAACATGGCCACTAGCGGGAGGACTCGGAAACTTAGCCCATTATGAGGAGGAGGTTGTCGCCCATTAATCCTATATGCAGGTAAGACGCAGGTAATATCACAGGAAACCTATTTTTTCCTGTAGATCGATCAGTCAGTTTTTTGTGTGTATCACATTATCTAGGTAAATGGGATGATCGTCTCTCTGGCGTCCAACACGGGGAAACAGCTTTACTATGTCACATGTGCAGTCCGGAATTCACTTTGGTACTTCGGAATTTTAATACCAATTAAGCGTTGTGAATATAAAACCATTAATTAATATGTATTTGCATAACGTACTGGACGTACGGCGGTAAAAAAATAAAATTGAAGTATGTGTATACGTTTATGATACAAGTGTATTTAACTATTGTTTATTGACGCCGTTTATATGTATATCTGAGGACGTATTGTGCCCGATTTTAATTAGTAGATGTATAAGTTTACAAAGATCGGTCTTGATGTGTCTGGTTAATCTTATCAATAAACACATCATACAGTGTTTTATTAGGCTCACCACTCGTCCCATCGAAATTAATTAAGCAAATATGATGAAATCGTACCTTCGAAAAATTGCTAATTATTTTGATTCAATATTGAATTCTGTGTGTAATTCAAGGACCACTTATTGAACTATACAGTATGTATGTTAATATCTTGTTGTTTATCATGTAAAACCAGACACTAGAAAAAAATACGTCTTTATTTAGCTGGGTTTTAAATATATTCACATTGACTACACACACGCATATATATATATATATATATACATAGAGCTATAACTCATCCCTATAGTTGTGCTGGTTTATCCTAGGTATCGTCGCCATAGAAATCTAAAAATGCAGCCATACCTTGTAAATTTGAAATATGTTGTTTAATTTAGCATTAATGGCTGCATAGATGCAGTGTATAAGCACATGATCCATTTAACTATAACGCCCGATCTCAGGGACCGACCGTGTACTGCTTGACAAGCCGACTGAAACTTATGTGAAACCTTCTGTCATCAAAAAAAAATTTAATCATAAAACACAGATTTATGAATCTTTGAACTTTTTAATAAAAGTTTAATTTCCTTCTGATATCTCTTGACTTTAGTATGATGTACGTTGATATGTTAGCCGTGTTTGTAGGAATCTCAGCAATGATATATAAGATATATATATATACGGTATACAAAAAAACTTCCCTCTGCTAGGGTGTACAGGTAAGCTTTAAAACTTACACAGCATGGCGAAAACACTGTTTAAGGTATCTCAACTTACTCTGCAACCGAGAACGCCTTTTACTGTCCTGGTCTATCTCCTGATAAAACACGTGGATTTATAATTTAACAGCAAGGATTTTTATCTGAGCACTTGTGCACGGTAAACGCTGATACTGCTTTACTTTCGCTGTACACTGCCCGAGTGTCCTGCCCCAGAACTCAAGTACAAGATAGGGCTTTTGAACTCGCGAAAGTCCCTCAGGTGTTTTGTGTAATTTCCTTCAAATTTAACGTCTACACCCCAAACAAAATACATTCTCGCATAAGATGAAGTGACATGTACAGTTTAAAAAGTGGGAGACCCTGTAAAACAGACTTTAGACTTGGCTAATATACCTGTACACGTGTTTGTATTTTGTCTACACAGATTTATCAACATGTTTATAATTCTGTATAAGTTCAACGCTGTTGCGAAATCTGGTCATAAATTTTCATATGGCTAAATTTGAAATTAAACAAATATTGACACGGGTTTCTATTTTTATACCGGATTCGTATGGATTGTTAGCTTTATATCATTGATGGTTTTTTTGATGTTAAGAGTTAAATATAAGTATTTATATAAAATGGACATCTAAAGATAACTCCTCCGGAATTATATCAATATTGTAAAAAAAAATGTGTACAGAAAAAAATATGGCATAAAAAATATACTACATCTGTATTACAACATATCTCAAAATGTCTGCAAATTTAGGGAAAAAACATAAGTTGAAATTAAATAAATTGCAGGTCCAATAAATATGTATAAATTCTGAATGTGATATGTTAGCGTTAAAGTGGCCCTGTTACTGATAAATCCACGCTAGTTTGTATTATCATTACCGCAATCTGAGAGGTTCATTTATCTTATCAGTCAAATGTCGGATCCTTCAGATGAACAGGCAGGCTGGCAAACGGATCAAAGGTACAGATGCAACAACACGGCTTACGTAAACATGTCCCCGGTCTCCCGGTATTGCCCTCGGGAGACCTCGGAGTTTATAGTCTCCATCACAAACACTAAACGTTCCTATCAGCACCCTGGGTCTATAACCGGGAAATTGACCTCGTCAAAAAATTAAAAATTAAAATCTTTGCTATCTAGTACATATATTTACCTTTGAGAATACCTGGACGTTAGCCCAGGTTTTCATCGAGTTTTAATTGACCTCTTGATGATAATAACAGTAAGATTATCTTCAGTACGGAATATCCGGGATAGGAAAACTATGTCATTATATTTTTTTGTTGATACAAACATGTACAAACAAACAATCCCCGATGAAATGTATTTATGCGTTTCAATATAACGTACAGGTATACCAATTTATCAAATAGGTCTTCACACCCTTGTGCGTTTTCGATACATGCTTTTCAAACCTATGACAAAAATAGATTGTATTTCTTTAGGAATACCTGTCTGGATGTTTTTATTTTGTATATACATATTCCCTATCTGCATGCCATCATTACGTAAGGCTCATGTATAGTAGACTCGGGAGTGCAAGTGTTGAATTCAGTATACCATAACCCCACCCCGATTTTAATAACCGAAACAGGTGACGGATTTTTAACGATCGTATCAATTTTATTTTACGATGACAAGTTTACTACATATCGATTTTTATATGTATTTAATGTCTATGAAATATTTGAGTTTATGATCTAGTTTCCCACGTTTCATATTATTACAGAAATAGAAGTATCAAAAGTGTGAAATGTTTTTGATCGATATGTCCTGATTATTTCACATGTGTGTTGTGCCAGAAAGTAGTTTACGTGTCATTACAACAATTTGAAGTGTGAAGTGAGAAGTGCCAGATAGACCAACATGTCCTTATATTTATACCTGTGTAGTGCAAAATAATACTCTATATTACATTGGTATGGTGTCAGTTTTCAGACATCGAGTTCTCATATTTACACGTGTGTACTGCAATGTGTTCTCACATTATATTACACATGTTCAGCACCAGATAGATGTCAAGGTGTCCTTATATTTACTTGCGTGTAGCGCCATACAGTCAATGTGTCCTTACACTATTTTACACCTTTGCAGTGCCAGATAACATAGTGTACGTATCTTCTTGTCTATGTCTGTGTTTGCCTTCCTGTGACCTCGCTGTAATTTATACCCATTAGATTTCTTCCACTCCTCCTAACAGGGATTACATAATTGAGTATACCCGTCAAGGCGAACGCACACCTTTGTAGCAACCCTTAAACCATGCCATTCTCATTATTTAACCCTGATTTTGGCACATTTTGTCGGGTTGTCACGTTTGAAATGAGAATATTTATATATTTTTAGCTCCCATTTGACACTTTGCTTAAATGTTCAAAACATGTTTACGTTTTTACCACATCATTCAAGGTCTGTGAAAATACACCGACTGATCATATAGAACGAAGAGGTGGTCCCGAAAGTAGTATTCACAGAGAGATGCATTGTAATATTATAAGCGAGTATGTAACTTCCTGTTATAAGGTGATTTGGTTGTCGACATTAGTACGGGTTTAATACCTTATTCAAGTCATCTACAGCCACGATATTGGCATATATGACCGATTGATAATGAGACGAAAACTTTGATGTAAGAACTAAATAGTGACACGCAAACTTTACTCCAAAGATTTATTCGCGGATAGTAGACACAGCTAGGATATACATGGATTTATGTCAATGGGAAGGGTCCGGCGCGCCAAATCTTTGCTCTGTTAACCAAATGGATGCTATACAAATGACGACTATCGTTTCATTTTTCGTTTTATTTTAATTTTCAATTTCAAATCATTGGAGCTTAACACTAGCTGGTGAACCTCTATTCATATAAGATATATAGTGCAGTTTAAATGCAGACGAGACTTGGGAGTGAACACGGCAATAACACACCAAACGTCGCGGATTGTTCGACGTTCTTCTGCGAAATCGTGTTGTTTCGAGGTTTTTCGAACAGAGATCCCTATCTTTTCATGTTTCTTTAAAAAGCGTCAGTTGCAATGCTGAGTTTTCTTGTGGTGACTGTACTTGCATTCTATTCTATATGTGTATTGAATTGCCGTCCCTGTGTAAAAACCGGAATAATTTAAATAGTTCAGTTCAAATTATTTCTTTTCATCGACATATTTTTTGTTTAATGAGTCCAGTACATTTTGTATGCGGTGGGTCAGTCCGCGTGTGTTATTCGTTTGAAAAGGTAGTTTTTTTTTTAGTCGTATGACACCTGAAATTAACACAGGTGGCTTGAGTGTCTAACAAAGCATGATTAAAGGTGTGCGGGGTCCATGCATTGGTTTATATTTTGGCTAAAGCTATCTGTCAGTCAAAGCCTCAACTAGTATAACTTTGTATTGGTCGTGCTGGCTCTGACTATAACCTCGGTCTTATCGCGATAGAGGCGCTTTTCCAACACGTCGGAGTCCTACCTGTAGATAGTAACTGACGAACCTAGCAGTGGAGCGCATTTACGTGGCTGACTTATTTAAAGGGCTCCCCGTGTCATTCTAGACTTCAATTTAGTGGTTTTGTGTAAACTCCCCACTGAGGCTATATATAAAAAAAATACGTACAGAAGACCGTATATTGTGCTCACGAATAAGATTGACCGATTATGTGCGGTCCTACCTTGACTGACCAACGTAGAGGGGCGCATTTCAGTGACCATTTACTGATTTGGAAAGAGTATGAGAGCATCTACCGTAGAGATTTAGCATTGTAACCGGTGAATCCTGCCCCAGGGCACTTTCTATACGTACACGTGTTATACTTAAGATACATCTTCTGATAATGCCTATCTTACATTCTCTGCATTTGTACCTCA